ATTTGACAAGTTTATGATAGGGCAGAAGTACACAAGAAGCAAATATGATCATTGTGTGTATTTACGCAAGCTACAAGACGGATCATATATATATATCTTCTTCTTTATGTTGATGATATGTTGATAGCTTCCAAGAGTCAGACAGAAATTACGAAACTAAAGACTCAATTGAACAGGGAGTTTGAGATGAAGGATCTTGGTGAAGCGAAGAAGATTCTAAGCATGGAGATATCAAGGGATAAGAAATTGAGGAGGCTTTGTTTGTCTCAGAAAGAATATCTGAGAAAGGTACTAAAACGTTTTGGCATGAATGAGAAGTCAAAACCAGTTAGTACACCTCATGCTCCTCATTTCAAGCTCGGTGCATCCATTACCTAGGATGATGCAAAAAGGGAATACATGTCAAAGGTTCCATATGCAAGTGCTGTTGGTAGCTTGATGTATGCAATAGTGTGTACGAGACCTGATATTTCACAGGCAGTTGGGGTTGTGACCAGGTATATGCATGATCTTGGAAAGGAGCATTAGCAAGCTGTGAAATGGATTCTGAGGTATATTCTGAACACCGTAGATTGGTTGGTCTTTCAGCAAGACAAACAGATGGTCATTGTGTAGTTGGGTATTGTGATCAGACTATGCATGTGATTTGGACAAGCGTCGATCAACTACTAGTTATGTGTTTACATTTGCAAATGCACCAGTCAGTGGAAGTCCACCTTGTGATCAGACTATGCATGTGATTTGACAAGCGTCGATCAACTACTAGTTATGTGTTTACATTTGCAAATGCACCAGTCAGTGGAAGTCCACCTTAAGGGAATACATGTCAAAGGTTCTATATGCAAGTGCTGTTGGTAGCTTGATGTATGCAATAGTGTGTACGAGACCTGATATTTCACAGGCAGTTGGGGTTGTGACCAGGTATATGTATGATCTGGAAAGGAGCATTAGCAAGCTGTGAAATGGATTCTGAGGTATATTCTGAACACCGTAGATGTTGGTTTGGTCTTTCAGCAAGACAAACAAGATGGTCATTGTGTAGTTGTGTATTGTGATTCAGACTATGCATGTGATTTGGACAAGCGTCGATCAACTACTGGTTATGTGTTTATATTTGCAAATGCACCAATCAGTTGGAAGTCCACCTTACAGTCAACAATGACTTTGTCTACTACAAAGGCAGAGTATATGGCAATTACAGAGGCTGTGAAGGAGGCAATTTGTCTTCAAGGGTTGTTTGGTGAATTGGGAATGGGACATAAGCACATCAAAGTGCATTGTGACAGTCAGAGTGCAATTCATTTAGCAAAGAACCAAGTTTATCATGCAAGGACGAAGCACATCAATATTCGATATCACTTTGTACGAGAGATTCTAAAAGAAAGTGGAGTCATAATCCAGAAGATTCGGACCACTGAGAATCCTGTTGATATGTTGACAAAAGTGGTAACTGCGGTCAAGTTTAAATATTGTTTAGACTTGGTCAATATTGTTACAAATTGAAAGATGAATTTGCAGACACTACTGAATATTGGATTTTTTAGAGATGTGTGTGGAATTTTCCAATGTGGAGATTTGTTGGTTTTTTGGCAAAGTCCCACATTGGTTGTGTATAAGGAGGAGGGGAAATGCTTTTGTTATAAATAGAGCCATACTCCTCCTTAGTTTTGCATCCCACAAATATAAGCCTTCTTCTATATTAAAGGCTATTTGTACTATTTCTTTCTCTTTGTAATATTTCCTCTATTAGTGAAATATTATTTTAGTAGTGTTCGAGGAGGTAGGTATAATTTTGGCCTAACCTCGTTAAATTTTGGTGTTCTCTTTTATGTCTATTTAATAGCTATTGTCGGGTATAATTGTTGTTAATTATTGTCCTATTAAAATTACTTGTCTTGGTAGTTTTGTCTAAGGAAAGTGGGTTTTAAGAGGGACCATTGTGACCCTCCTCTTTCCTGGGAATCTACCTTGAGGTGATTTTTAGTACAATCGTTTTCACACTAGTCACCTAGATAATAGTTTTCAAGGTGAATTTGTTATTATTGGTGGAAATGAACCCGAATTCCACAACAATCTTTACTACATTTAGCAGGAAAAAATGGTATGATCCACAGGACGCTTCCTAAACAGGTGGAGGGTATGGTTATGCTGATTAAGAGCGTTTTGGCTTCAAAGTTGAATGGGTGTGTTAAGGTTGTCCCTTCCTCTTTACTTCCTCTTTAGCTATAGTTGTTGATTGGGATTTGTTATAGAGATAAGTGTGATTCTTTTGGATGAATATATTCTTCATTTATAAAAAAAACATAATCTGAGTTAGAATAAAGTTACAATTTAATTTTTTTTATTAAAATTACAATTTGATTTTCAAACAATAGTATCGATTAATTCAAATAATATAGATGTTGACACTTAAATTTTAAATATTATTAGCAATTATATTTATTACTCGACTAACGTTATGATTTATAAGAAATTACACATGTTACAATTTAAAATCTAAATATTTTAGTATATGATCATTTTTTAATAGAATCATACCTTTCACCCAAAAAATCTAAATATTAAATCTTGAATTCACCAAAATGAAGGGTAACTTTTAATATTCTTCAACAATTTATACTTTTACCAATTTTCAATAAATTTTCGCTAAATATTTAATAGAAGGACACGTTCTCCCTTCAAAGGATTGTTTCAAGTACCTAGGGTCTATGATACGTAAAGATGGGGTGTAGATGAAGACGTTTCACACCGTATAAAGGCGGGATGGCTAAAGTGGAGGGCTGCTACTGGAGTTTTGTGTGACAAGAAGGTACCTCTAAAACTTAAGGGAAAATTTTATAGAATGGCAATAAGACCAGCACTGTTGTATGGATCAGAATGTTGGGCTATCAAGAAGGATCACGTAAGGAAGATGGAGGCCGCAGAAATGAGAATGCTTCGATGGGTATGTGGTAGGACTCTATGGGACATGACACCAAACTCTGCTATTAGGATGTCCTTGGGGGTGGTGCATGTATCCGAAAAATTGAGGAAGGGAAGACTACGATGGTTTGGGCATGTCCAAAGACGACAACCATTGGATGCGGTTAGGAGGGTAGAGTCGATTTCAGTCGACTGTACCAGAAGGAGAGGTCGACCAAGGCGGAAATGGGAAGACTGCTTGAGATCTGATTTGAATGATTTAGCCCTTACTGAGGACATGACCTCTGATAGGAAATTATGGCGACTTAAGACCAGGGTAGCCGAGTAGAGCGAGTCACATCCATTGGACATCTTTGTCTTCTTTAATGCCTTTGTAGTAATTTCATCACTTATACTTTTTATACGTTTCTGTCATTGGAATTAATGAAGGACTAGAACTAAGATAGCGGAGTAGTGTTGCCTTAGTTTTAGGTTTTAACCCATTTGACTTTATCCCTTCTCGAAGCCTGCTATCGTTGAATTCTGTGTATACTGCTCTTCATGTTTCCTCTTTATAATTTTGGTCGGGTCTTACGTTTCTATCTATATGCAGATATTTTTACGCAGGGGTTTATTTGTAGGGATTACTTCCCATTACAGACGTGCATATGAGGACTGCATATGAAGATTGTTCACATACGTATTTTATTTATTTATTTAAACATGCATTGTATTTTATCTTTATTTTTTTATTTTTTTATTTTTTTATTTTTTTTTTACTGCCGGAGGTCTTCCACGGAAGCTGCTCTCAACTTGGCGTTGAGAGACAGCCTACTACCCTACCTCCCCTTACCCCATTGCATATGGGAATAGGGTTTTGTTGTTGTTGTTGTTGTAATATTTAACATTTAAAGATTAAATTAAAAAGTAATCCTTTTTCCTAATATGTTTTATCATTAATATAATAGAAATTAACATTTGAATAATAATTATATGGTAAATCAATGATATAAGTGATAAAAATATAAATTTAATAGTTAAATGATCAAAATAAAAAGATAGAAAAAAGTTATTACAATTATAATTTATTTTTTATTTAAATATAATTTTAAAAAAAAATTATTTATAAAAGAGTTAATTGCATCATACATTCCCAATATATGATCCTCATTTCAAATTGGTCTCTAAACTTTTAAATATTTTAATTCCATCCCTAAACTAAACTATCATTCTAAATAAGTCCTCAAACTTTTAACATTTCATTTTCATCCTCAAACTATGATCTTCATTCTAAATTGGTCCTCAAACTTTATGAACATTTCAATTTAATCATAAATTATACATATATACTAATTACATCCCTTGTTAATAAAATTATTAGATCCAGTTATATTATTATATGTCTGAAAAAATAAAATTTAGGTTAAACTATGGTTGAAATGAATTACATATTTGGATGAATTTGGGGATAAAATAGAATATGGAAAAATTTATGTACCAATTTAGAATGATATTCATGTTTGGGGATGAAATTGGAATGTTCAAAGGTTTAATGACTAATTTAGAATGAGAGTCATAGTTTTTGGATGAAATTAGAATGTTTAAAATTTTGAGGACTAATTTACAATGAAAGTCATAGTTAGGGGACATATGATCCAAACTCTTTATAAAATAGAGGAAATATATGAGGATGAAGCAGGAAGATGATGTACAAAGCACTGTTAACCTAATTATAGTGATTCGACACATCATTTGAATCAAAAGGCAAAAGACAAAGACTACCCAACGAACTTTGGGGTAGCAATTTTTTTATAAACGATTGAGATAAAAATACGTAAATAGCATTCCAATGTCGAAATTTTTTTTGGTGAGACCAATAAAGCTCGGAACCGGGAAAGAAAACGACGACAAGAGACAGATAGATTGAGGGGAGACCAACAACAACCGATGAAGAGAAACTACAACCAGCCGAGCATTCATCATCAACATTTGTCGGACGGTTTGTTTTGTTTTGTTCACATTCTCATATGGCTCATCCACTTGAAAAGACGAATACCTGTCCCACTTTTTCATGAATCTAAAACATTTAACACGAAGGGTGGTGTCATATACATTATGAGTAACTTGTTGATACTGTTTGGATCCGTATTATTACAACCCCAAATATCAAGCACGCTTGATACAGCAAACTATATGTTAGCTAGAAATGGCTTATTTGTTTTTTTTAATAGGTTTTATTTCTTGAAGATAGAAAACAATCAAATCAAAGCATCCACTCAGGGACGAATCCATTGTGTGCTGAAGTTGTGGGCTGAGCTTGGATATTATAACTGCGGCAATAACAAGAGATGAGAATGAGAATTAGCAAGACATGATCTACGTTACATAGAATTGTACACAAGAAACAAGGTTACCCAATGTGTTGAGAAGTGGTGCCTTCCACAAATCCCCGTGACTGAGGAGGACCTTGCTGGGTGTAATTGTATGCCTCCCATTCTCTTGAACTATCTTCTTCCAACTGCATATGTATCGGAATATGAATACCAGACAATAAGGGGTAAGACACTAGATTATCCATTTCTTGTTCGATCAAGTGTTGTCTAGATACAAGATTGTCTATTTTTGTTCCCCATTCGAATACGGTGACCAATGGTTTAATTATAACATATATGTCCTTACTCTTAAGCCTTATATGAAAACATCTTTTTTTACCTTCTTCCGCAGGATTCTGTTATTTTCCAGTAGCATTTCCTCCTGTAAACAACAAAGTACGTCCATCTTGATATCAGAAAGCTCAATGATTATATGCTATTAAAATGAATTCCAGGTGCTATTTTATACCTTTCTTTGAAGTTCAGAAAGTTGCTCAACCATAATATCCGTCTGCATGAAAAGTTCACCATTAATCAAAAGGAAAGAAATATGACCAGATTCATGACATTAAAAACAACGTACATTGATTACATTTACATACCTTTATTGACCTGATCTTCTTCAATGAGAAGTCCAACTGATGCTCAAGCTGTTCCAATTCCTTAGAGCCCAGGTCTACTAAATCTTCCCCCAGAAAAAGTCTATAAAACACCAACTACATTCACGGGAAGGCCAAAACTATCCACATTTTAACATCATGTTTAAAACTGGGTTTTGTTGATATTACCTCTGTGAACGTTGAAGGGCCTCAACTTTTGCTTTCAGCTTCAAATATTCTTGGTAGTTGCTCTGCTTGATCACATACAACACTTTTAAGAATATCATATCCATATATATGCATATATCTAGAGTATTGGTGTTTATACTGATAATTCTGAAATATAAATAAATAAAGAGCTTGATGCATGGATTTAAAATATTTGAAGAATCAAACCTGAGTGTCCATTTCTGTTTGACCAGGCTCCAATGCTCCATAGGTGCACCTGTTGTACCTCTCCAGTGTCGTACCAATGCTGCAAACATTTAAAAAATGAATTAAAGATTGCAAGTTCAAATAATTATTTTCTTTATATTTTAATTTTTTTAATCTTAATTTACAAAGGATAAAATATAAGGTACATATGATATATATTGTAGCATGGATGAAGGAAAGATATGAGAGAGGAGGCCCTAAGAGGCTACCCTAATAATAGCATAAATTTTGCAGTAAGCTTTTGAAGAAAGCTGAACATTGAGTTGTAAATGAAAATTTCAGTCACAAGATACACAACACAATTACTTCATTGATCGAAGACTGATTATCAATTGAAAACATACTTGAAATCTGCCCTGTATAATCACATTTAAAAGACCTTATAAATTAATTATAGCTCTCAAACTATTATTAAACTGTGTTTAGTATGAAATAAATCATATAAAGAAAGAAAATTTATTAATCTGCACAGATCCTATTCATTAACAAGTAATTTAAGCTCTATGAAATTTAACATACACGTAAAGGGGGGGGAAATAAAACATTTAGTCTTATAATTATGGGAAAAATTACAATTAACACATTTTTACCAGAAAAACATCATATTTTAGGGTTCTAAAAAGCTGTGAAAATAAATCAAAGACATGAAGTATGAAAAAAAATCCAAAAAGTAGGGATAAGAACATCTTGTTTGTTAACAAGAGACACAGAAAGAATCACTGGTTCCCATGATATATAAATCCAGAGTTTTACAGTGACTTAATCAGATCTCTGAAACCCCCAGAAAATCTAAACCCAGCAATCAAAATCGAAAGAAAAAAATTATATATTTACCTATTGGAGCTGGAAAATTCATAGAGTTTGCCACGGCTAGAGAAGATGATGAGAGCAACCTCAGCATCACAGAGAATGGAAAGCTCATAAGCTTTCTTGAGCAGCCCATTCCTTCTCTTAGCAAAGGTTACCTGTCGGTTTATCTTGTTCTCGATCCTCTTCAACTCTACCCTTCCTCTCCCCATTTTCACAAGCTCTTTTTAGTATTATATGCCCTTTTTTATTTTCTTTCTTACAAAATAAGGAAACCTGTTCTATTTTGAGAAACCAGTTTATGTTTTTGCTCTTAGGGTAACAACTAAGAAGCTCTTCTTCTTTTTACGACTAGTGGTGTATAGCTAGGGCACTATGATGTTAGCTGTTAGGTTTTCATTCTCCCTTCATACGGAAAAAGATGAAAAGGACGGAGGGACAACTATGACATTGTTTTTATTTTCTAAAAATATCTCTTTTTCCTTTTAATAAAATGTTAGGATACAGTACATCGTATATCATTAAACTATACTTGAAACGTTGGTTGTGTTTATTAAACTTTTAAAAATTATAAATCGATAATTAAATTTAATAAACTATTTAAAAATTATCATTACATTATTACAAAATGACATTAAAATTTTTTATGTTTATTATAATGTCCCAATGATTAGTTTATAACAAATTAACAAATTTAATGATTGTTTTATAATCTTTTAAACTTAATACATAAAAAATCATTTAAAATAATGTTAATATATTATATAATAAAAGATGAAAATAAAAAATTTAATCTTTTAAATATATGAAAATATACAATAAGTGCGAAAAGATGCTCGATTCTTCTTGTTGAACTACGAGCAATATATGAGACTATCACTCATACTCAAAGACAAAACTTAAAATACATGTTGGCTATGCCAAAATAGTTAATAAAACATTCAATGCTTCAAGAGTTCAAAATAATATCGTTAATATTTTGATTAAGATGAACCGTGATAAATCTTATTGTGAAATCTGAATTTAGACACCTCTCTTATGACAATAATTAATGTAAGAAACAAACCCTAATACATAATGATTATAATAACATCATCATCCAGATAAGAAAATCAATTTTCCCTCTCTTCTATTGGCCTTAAATTTCCTTTACTATTTAATTTTACAAATAATAATTAATAAGCAGTAACCTTCAGAACATAATGATTATAATAACTTCCCTAAACAAAATAAATGGAAATTGGATTCCTTTTTTGTGAATTTTAGTTTGAGTTGACAGGATGACGTCAACGTCAATCTCAATTAAGATTTCGAACTTTTAAGGGAATCCACGTGTCGTGACAACGTGGGGAACATCAGAAACACTGGTTTTGTTTGGAGATTATGTGACACTAATATCCCTATCTTCCATGGACATGCTCCCGAGGGGTAGGGGCTGGGAATGTAAATTGGGGTTAAGAATAAGGAATTTGGTTCTGAAAATGTTGCGACATGGGGAAGGGGTCGCCGAACCATGTCAAAGACGAAGAAAGCACAAAAGCAAGGTAGCCAAAGGCATGTTTGGATATGAAGGACTGTTTTCGTATCTTTTCTGTCTAAATTCTTTTTAAGCTAAGATTCATATTTAATTTATAAATCATTATGTCCATTTAGCTTTAGTCTCCATCTATATTGTTTTAGTTTTGTGTTACTTGTTGCAACTGTGACTAAAATTACTGTATATGGGATTAGAGAGTGTTCTGACCTCCAAAATTTAAGATAATTATGATTAGGTCTCTAAAAAATATTTCAAAAAAATATTTAACTATATGCATTTATCTCATAAAATCACATATAAGTACATGTTTTGATATATAAAAGAAGAAGAAAAATGTCGTTAGAGGTATTTGTATTTTTTTTGAAAAAAACTAATTTGAGCCTTGATTTATTTTTCTCTCTCGATGTGACCATTCAACTCATAAAATAAATTTAATATGGTCGTTTGACCGTTATAGTACGGGCGTGTCGGTTCACGGTGCTAATGTGACGGTCCACGGTGCTGATGTGGCGGTTCATCTTCCATGTTAGAGTTACTAATTTAGCCCATCTACCATGGCATTCACCACGTTAATCTGTCATCATGGACTGCATGTCAGCACTGTGAACTGTCACGTCAGCATCGTGAACTGCAACGTTAGCACCGTAATGATTAACGATGAAAAAACATAGGTTAAAGGTCCACATTAGATTTATTTTCTGAGTTGGAGGGTCACATTGAGAAAAAAAATACCCCTTTACCTACCAAAGCCCTCAACAAGCTCACGTCCTCCTAATACAAGCTTTATAATTAATCAACTACAATATATAAATAAAACCTTTGACATGCCATAAGATTTGTGAGAATGTAATCTAAGGTCTGACAACTAAATTTGTCTAGCTCATTAGTCTACAAATAGCATAATGATCCTACGATGGACACATACCAAACATGGCTATAAATACCTTAATCAATAATGAAAAAGGGGATTGAACCTTCCATAACCTACATCTCGTATTCTTCTTCTTTCTAATGACCTCTCTTTCATAAAAGAATATCGATTAACAGTTATTTTCTCATCAATTACGACTCTCTATTCATGCCGTAAGGATATGTTGTCAACAACTCACAAAATAAACTTATTCCAATCAACAAATTTCACTACTAAATATCTATCCATAAACTTAATGATAATTGTCTCGTAAGCCCATACTTTCAATCCCAGATTTTCATTAGTACACCTATCTCAAATGTGTTTATAACTCGAAATTAAGGACAAATTAATAAAAATTGTTAAGAGGATTATATCTATAAATTATTTTTATTAATCTAGAGTGATTATAAGTAATAGTATATGTTATAGAAACTTTCAATCATTTGATAATAGACGCTCAAATATTCTGACAATCAATGATACTTGAAATAAAATTTCTAGAGATAAAAATCGTCCATTTAACCCATGAGTTACCTTAATGAGTTACCTTAAACCCTAAATCTTAACCCCTAAATCATACATACACTCTTAACCCTAGACTCTTAACCTTAAATCTTAAATCTTAAATCTAAACCTTAAACCTTAAATACAAAATAAAGAAATAAAGAAAAAAATATGAGAGACGTATTATACTCCATGTGACTCTCCCAAAATTAAATTAAATTGCATTATACTTCATGCGTTTTAAACTATGTTGTAACAAATAACCTATTTCAAAAAAATAATTTCAACTAACTATTATTCGAGTCAATAAAATATTCCAACAAATTGTTTAAAATTTATTCCAATGTAAATCATTTAAATTACCGTCCGTAAAACTTGGAAGACTTACAGTGTATGAATGTTGACTAAAAAATAAAAGCATGCTGTCACGATCAAGATACAGACATAAAGCGCAGGGACTAGGATAATAGGACACGTGTCGATTTATCTTCGTTCAAAAGTGTTGATCAAACTTTTAACTTTTTTCTTTTTACCTCGATTTATCTTCATGTTTATAACAGCACTAGCATGTTTATAACAGCACTAGCATGTTTATTAAGTTTGATTATTTGGCATTTTAAAAATTAAAATATATTTAATCACTCAAATTTGACTTTAAATCAAACTAGAAGATAATACTAAAATCCTAAAACCAAAGCAGAGGGATCAAATTTATAAAAAACTGAAAGATGAGGAGGTTATAGGCAGAATTAAACCTTTTGAAAAAGGTGAGGAGTCAAATCACTTAAAGAGTTGTATTGACAGTGAAGGGTCAAAAAGCTTTAAAATTAATGTTAGCATTTTGATGACAAAACTCCGAGGTTTATGGAGATTGTAATAATATTTAACTGATAAAATTATAGGTAAACTACACGTTTAATATATAAATTATTAGTTTTAATTTATTTTAGTATTTAAATTTTTAATTTTTAAAATTACATTTGAAGTGTAGTTTTTATTTTATTTTATTACTCTATTTAAAACTTATCGTTAAATTTTGGGAAAAAAATAAAAGTTTAGGTAGTAAAACATATCAAAATTGTTAGTTTAGGTACTAAAGCATTAAATTTTTAGCGATGGTTTATTAAAATGAAACAAAATTTTAACTTTAGGTATGGTTTTGGAAAAAAAATTAAAAGTTTAGGTACTAAAACATATAAAAATTAATAATTTAAGTACTAAATACGTAATTTACCCTAACATAAGTGATAACGTGACATATGTCATATGTTCAAAGTTATGGCATGTCACACATCACGTATACGTAGGGGTGTGTAAAATTACCCGACCCGGTTGACCCGACCCACCGACCCGCCGACCCGGATCTAAAAAAACCGGGTAATTCTCTAAAAAAAATTACCCGGCCGGGTCGGGTAGCCCGGGTCACAAAATCTAATTTTTCCGGGTACCCGGTTACCCGAGTACCCGGTTAGTTTTTATTTTTTTATATATAATTATATAAAATATAATGAATTATTTATATTATGAATTATTATATTTTGTATTTCGAACTTTTAAATTTTATGTTCGGATATTAGAGTATGTAATTCGAAGTTTCGAATATTTAAATTTGTGTATATATTTTTTTAAACTAATAATTTGAAAATAAAAAATTAAAAACCGAGTATCGGGTACCCGATTACCGGGTACCCGCAAAATTCGAGTACCCGCAAAATTCGGGTACTCGCAAAATTCGGGTACCCGATTACCGGATACCCGTAACATCCGGGTTGGGACACGGGCCGAAAAATCGTCAACCCGGAAGTTTCGGATACCTGAAAATCGGGTACCCGAATTTACACACCCCTACGTATACGTAGTGATGACATGACATACACTATGTGCACATAAGTGATAATGTGTCGCATGTTACATGAATATAAGTGATGATATGACACGTGTCACATATTTAAGTTAGGAGATGGTAAATGTGAGACGCAAGTGATGAATGACATACATTATAGATATATAAAAGATGATATGACACACATCATATGTATATAAATGATAGTATAGTACATGTCATATGTAAATGAATGATGACGCGGTGTATGTCATATAATTACTTTAAAAGCATTACTATACTTCTACTAATAATGGGTAGAATGGTGTATTCGGATGAGTGGAGAAAATAAAGCAGTAAATTAGTGCAGTGGAGAAAGTAAATACAAGGGGAGAAACAAAAAAAAAATGGAAAGGGGAAATTGAAATAAAAAGATGGTGTTAGTCTTAAAGTGCAGTCCTTTCCTACTTGATAGCCTTTTCTTTTCATTCTAATCTTAATTCCCCACATGTTCTGTTGGGAAGGGGACAAGAGTGGGAAGTGACTTAGAATGTCAATATTTCAAGCTTAGTATTCATGCCTACTTCAATATCCTCTAATTATATATATATTAAATAAATTAATGGTTTAATAATTTTAATTTAAAAATTGACATATTTATTTGTGTCTAAATTCACGGAATATATATCACGCTGTGCAATGCGTATATGTATGGGAAGGGGACAATGGTAGGTTTGAGATCCTTATTATGGTATAAAATATGGATGTCAGTGTGCAGTCCACAAGCCATGATTTTGAAGGCATTCCCCCCCTCCAAAGATAAGATTCCATAACAATGCACACCGAAGAAAATGATAGGACATTTAATCCAAAACCAATTAATTATGGAAATGGTAACCCTTGGTTCGAATGCAGACCGAGTGTTTTCGAAGTAGAAATCTTGGTTTCACATGAATAGCAATGAGAAACAATGGCATTTCAATGCAACAACACTGGGATTGTGCTCACTGTCTTCTGTCGGCTCAATCACGGGACTTGTTGGCATTTGTTCCTGCACCGTGGAATGAACCCCATTGGAGTTGGCCAACCAGGCACCTCTACTAATACTCAACTAGTGCCACATGCAAATTTCCCACATGATTTACATGCTGCGGAGGGGCAAGTTGGAAGGGACTATATAAGTTAGGAATAAGAGCTGTTGTAAAAAGTTTAGAATGGAATCATGTACCAATAATCTCTTCTTCATTTATAAATACTCTTGTGGTTCATGCTAATTGGAATATTCCAAAACTGTAGTTTTGACTAGATTAGCTTCGGGACTAAGCAATATTTTAATGATTTTTATCACACAAATAAATTCAACATTTTATAAGGATCCTATAAAGAAAAGGTTAAAAAGTCATTAAAAAAATTTTTTGAACAAAAGAAAGATGTGAATATATTTGACTACATCAACAAACCAATCACAATAGGGAATCAAGTTACTAAAAGACTGTCGACATTCGCGAATCAGAGTCGAACATCGTGAGAAAACTATCTCCGAACGCAAACAACATATCCAAATTCATCAAAAGGTCCATAGTACGACAAATCAACAGGATAACAAATATGCAATATCTTGATCAGTAGAGATAATATCAAATTCATCCCTCAAAAAATTAAAAGATAAGATCGATTAAACAACCAATAAAAAATATTGAAACATATCAAAATACAGACAAAAATATGTCATAAAATAAAAGAAATCATATCATAAAATTAAATTAAAAAAAGTTAAAAAAAATCAAATATACTATATAAAAAATAGCGGCCAGCGTACCAAAACAGAAAAAAGACGAGCGGGGAGAGCGTAGAGAGAACAGAAAAACTAGGGAAAAGCTACCTAATAGATATTATTTTAATGAGTTTATAAATAGAAATGTACCCGTACACTTGATATACTTGAGAATGTTTGAAAAGCTTTTTAATCATTCAATAATAAAACATGATGCCATAGGTGACACAATGTTTATGGAACTTTATTAATACTATATTAATTATCATCATCTGCTCGTCTTAGTGCATGCTTTGCTTTGACTCTGACACCAAAGGCGAGGGAAAGATAAGGTTCGATAAAAGTAGGATGCTAGCAGGATTTAATGTTACGGAGATAAACTAAAATTTTAAAGAGTAATAATAGATTTTTAATAAAAAATACAAAGAAAAAATAAAAAATATATGATAATTTCATAATTTTCAGGGGTTATTACTCTACCCACCCATCGGTCCATCACTAGATAAAAGGTCTCCCTTAATGAGTTTAGCATTGATTATATTCACTCATTTATGCATATTATGTTTCGGGTTAAAATTTCTAGATATATAGAATTTTATTGGACTAACATGTATCAATAAATATCATCAATTATATACCCTGAATCAATTTCAAAGGGGAAAAAAAAGAATATTAGTGCGATGCTAATCCAAAAAACCAATTTCAAAGGAAAAGGGTATTGATAACATGAGAAATATAGAATTGTCTTTTTCAGGGTAATGGAGTTCTGCAATAGATGTTTAAGCATCTAATCTGGAGAACTCTTGATTGAAACATTATCAAACAAGTACACAACAAAAGCCTGTATATTACACAAGCAACCGCAGCAAGTTTCCGCTGCTTGTATTAAAAGATCCGAAAACAGCATCATTTAGAACCTATGGCTTCCCCCGAGAATCAACAAACAATACCCCACTTATCGAGAGATATGAAGGCACCATCTCATTTACTATCACCGGGTCCCCCACCGAAGAGGTAGTTCAGAGACGACCCACCCCCAGGGGCTGCATGAACCTTGGTCGAAGGTCGATCCTGCATCCAATGAAAAACAGTTTCAATGACGCCACCGAAGCAAGTATTGATCTTCTGACAAGTTTTACAAGCATAATATAAGTGCTTTGATGAAGCTTCCAACAAGACATATCCGATTATCTTAAAGCCAGCTTCCCTTCGAAAAAGGTTAATACTAGAAAGTTGTCTGGTCATTTACCAGGAGGGCTGAGGGAGGAGTGATGGACACTTGGAAGCCAACTTCTAACAGTAAGTAACGAGGCATATAGTTTAGGCTTATTTTCTAATAAAATGTTTTTGCTGAGCAAAAAAAAACCCAAACAACAGTTAACAAAGAAATAATTCAAAGCCAACAATCTAATTCCAAGAACTTTGATACACATCAATTCCTTACTACTAGTTTCTCCCCAATGAAATTCGAGTTCCAAATTAGTATAAATCTTATTTTTCAAGGCATTTACAAAAGGTACATAACTAGCTCTCTCTTTACCACCCAGACATCTATTCTGCAACCCTATCTTTGTCATGTTTCATATTGTTCAATGAAAGATTGGTGGAAAAATAAATAGAAAAGGCAATGAACTTAAATGAAGTATGACAACTTTAAAAAATAAAAGGGCAAGCTTTGAAGTATCATAATAATTGAAGGACTCATAAAGAGATCATTAAATGAGTTATACCGTAATGAAATTGCCAGTGTTCTGACCATCAGCACGGAGATAATTGTTCGAGGAGGTACTGTTAATACCAGCAGGAATCTGTTTGGCTTTATCTGCTGGTTCAGCCGCAGGAGCAGGAGCAGCAGGAACAGGTTTCGAGACAGCTGGTGCTTCAGTTGAAGCAGCTTGAGAATTGTTTGCGGCTGGTTTTGGAGCATCTCCACTCCCAAACAGATAGCCCAATGAGCTCTGCCCACCACCACAGCTAACTCCACGGCCCATCTTTTCCGACTTACAAGCAAATAATGTTCAAAGTCAATCACACGGGGAGGGAGGAAACAAATAGCACAAAGTAAGAATATATGATCTGGTTCTAAAAAGTAGAAAAGGGCCAGGAGCCGAGGAAGATGGAATGGATCTATAGATCAAGCACATCATACCATAAATGGAAATTTTAAACAACATTGTTCAGTACAAGCAGAAGAAAGGTAGCAAACCAAGCACATTCGAAAGAATTTCCATTACAATTCTTCATAAAGAAACTTTTCATTGATATTATTTCTCGAAACGTGGGCTTGAATATAACTCCCATAAAAGGCTGGACAATGAAATGCGCCAATGCTTAGCCATAACTTCACACAATATAAGGTCACATGAACATTTGTTCATTATAACAACCGGTTCTTGTTTAATTCAAGTTTTCAACAATAGCAAGGATGAATTATCTACTTTAATCATAAATAAAAATAAAATTCAAAGATAAAACGATCAACACAACATACAAATCAAAATTTCAGAGAATGTCCAATAATCATAAAATTAAAAAAATCTGAAACGAAAAATATAAAAAAATCCAAATAATATGATTACATAAATCGATACAGACAGCACGATATGAAAACATAGGTTCTCTATATAACATCCAAAAAAACAAATGAAAATGCGTAGCCAAGGTGGAAGACATCAAACCAGATACAGTAAATAAAAAGACCGAAAACTAACAAATGAATGAATGAACCAGTGGATGAAACACTAAACCTTTAAAAGAAGAATAATATGAGATCTCGAGCTGGGGTTTTAAAATTACCTGAATTTTTTTAGAGCAGATCTGGAGGAGAGAAAGTGGGGGAGCTGCGACAGAATGAAAGTGAAATAAGAGCGCTTTCTCTTTTAATATATAGAAGAATTGAAAATGACTATTCCTAGATAAATAAATAATATATATTTTTTTTGTCAAAAATGACCCTTATTTTTCTTCCGTCATCGTTTTCAGTCCCTTTTTAAATTAAAATTGTGCTGGGAATAATTATCATTATTAATGACAATAGTTATCTCCGTCCCACTCGTTCACTATCCACTAAACTTATATTAATTTCCGAGGATCCCGCCCCGATTAAAATGGATATAAATGTGATGCGAAATTCACGAAATTATATTAGTATGTCATCCCTAATCTTGTAAGACATGTGCATCTCACTATTCAACAAAAGTAGATCCATTGTCAAAGAATTATCATCTATTAACAAACTAGAGAAGTGATGTCAAAAGAACAATGAAATAAAAACAAACTTACAAAATCAAGACCGAAATTTGTAATAAGACAAGATAAAAAAACTAACATGAAATATAATAAAACTTCACTATTTTCGTGAGAAAATAAGATTTAAAAAAAGAACTGTAAATTTTCAAAATAAAAATTGTTGATAGTTGGATCATTTATTAGGGTAGATCAAATCGACATAAACATAGACGAATTAATGAGACACTCACGGGAGTTCCCTGAAGAAACTCTTGCTGCATACAAGTTATGTTTTATCTCGACTTTGGTGATCGAATCCGGGAATAACAACAATTTCTTTATTACCGCGATCGTTTGGTTCGTGCGGTGGATAATTTATGGTTTGCTTATTCAGGGGCATTCTCGTTGATTGCTTCTGAAGAGTTCATCTCAGTTGCACCACATGGAATCTATCCAGTGATGAAGAATCCAGTTTTTATCAATCAACATGTAAGTGCCTGCTAACCAATTAACCATTACCAGACATGTATTCGTTTCAATAGGGTGCTTCTTTGATTTCTCATCTTTTAAGATGTCACAAAACAGGCTTATGCACTAGTAACTAGCTTAATCTGTGTTCTGTAATTAGTATGTGTTCCACTCTGATACGGAAATTCCTGTGCTTGTTTACTGAAGCTACAAGTTTTTGCATGTGCACAGGAGAGGCATCCTATAGGACATGATAATGGCAAGGTTTCGATTACTTTCCCATCATTTTCAGGACCTCAGATATCGGTGCACCCAAGCTACTTCGTAAGATTGCCAACATCATTTTCTCAAACAAAGGCAATTAAGAACTTTTAATTAATCCAATATAATATTTAGGGTAAATTACATGATTGATCATCCTTTTATTTATTTTTTGTTTTTGTTTTGATCATCCACCTATATTTTTTTAGAAAATCATACAATTATATTTATATTTTGTTCCTAATTTGATCACCCTTTTAACCATTGACTTGATGAAAATGATCATGTCACATATTATAATAATAGTTTTCCCTCAAAACTTACATGTTATAAAGAATTTTTAAAATAACTCAAAAATATCTCTAATATTTGAAAACTTTATTAATTTGGTCCAACATAAAACTCCTCTCACAAATCTCGATCATTGTCGTTGTACGTTTTCTTAGTCGTCCATGTAGATCACACCCTCCTCATTGACACCTTAGAACATCATTTAGACCTTACAACTATATACATGGAAAAAGAAAATAGATGGAAATATGAAAAAGATAGTGTCCGAAGGATATTTTTTGCATGAGAACGACATTGATAACGGATGAGTGAAGAAATTATTGTGATGACGGTAATGAGTAAACCTATAATAAGAGTATGAGAAAATCATCGAATGAGTTGCAATGCTGTTGCGATAAGCCAATGATTATCATGTCATATTCATTTTAAATTTAATTTTTATCTGACTTATTTAAAACAATTTATTTTAAATAAAAATATTTTTTTTAAATTTAAGGACAAATAGTATTAAAAAAACTATTATGCACAACTTAAAAATGGAAATTAAATAGAAAATTGATACAATTTTATTATTTTATAACATTATAGAATTATTTTAAGTATTATTGAAACTTTCAATCATAAAAATATATAATGTAATTTACTTATAGTAAAAGACAATATCTGTTTAAAGATAACTCTTAATAATTTGATATTAAACGCTCACATCTCTGATATTCATGGTGCTCGAACCCTAGACCTCATGAAATAATACCTCAAAAAATAACAACGATACCTTTATCTCCTAGGTCGCTTGATTCATGCTAATTTTAATTTTTTTTAAAATAATGATTATAGATCAATGACATTGAATAAAATATATAATTTAAATCAATAAATTTTGATTTCTCAAATTGATTGAATAAGATGGAATTAATTAAACACATAATTTATTTGTAAAAATCAAGATAATAATTAAATCAAATATATATTTCATTACTTTATTATAACTAATATTTATATAGTATCGAGAATATTTGTTAATTTATTAGTTAAATAGATTAATTTAACCAATGAAACAGAAATAAATGCAATATAAAATTCAAATATAAATTATAAAATGAATATTTTATATATATATTAAAACACTGTTTCATTTTAAATTGGTAAAGCTAAAATTTACTTCTTTCCCTCCTGTAATTGTTACTTCCCCTCAAAATTTTAACTCCTACCAAAAAAAAAATGAAGCCTTGGTTGTCTTCCATCGCCGTAGACCCTCTTCCCCGGTTCTCGTCCCCGCCCATTATCCCCGTATGCTCCCCCGTCTCTCCCATCGTGATCGAGTCACCGGCCTCCGCGGCCTTGCCAACGATTGTGGATCCCCTCCTTACCCTGACATGATAACCGAGGCTATTGGGGCTTTGAAAGAGAATGATGGGTCAAGCAAGAGGGCCATTTCTAAGTACATCGAGCTAACTTACAACCGCTTACCACTGAATCACGATGAGTTGTTGAGTGATCATTTGAGGCGCTTGAAGAACGAATCTCATCTCATTATGGTGAAGAAATCTTACAAGCCTGCTAACTCGGCCGGATCTGCAGCTTCGTTGATGGGTTTTGCTACTTATAACCTTTCCGACGCTTCTCCGACCTCCAAAAGTGGACGCGACTGTCCACCCAAGCCCAAGCCTACGGTTCCGGCTGCCGACTCCCACTCTCAATCACTGAATGCACCAGTTGCTGATGAACCTAAGAAATTCGTCGGTAGGCCCAGGAAAAATGGACCCATTGGTCAAGTTGGAGTTAGGAAGGGCCCGGGTCGGCCACCCAAAAGTGGGTCTTGGAAATCAAATCGAAGATGGTGAGGTGTTGGTAAAATAGATTGTAAAATCATACCGCACAGGAAAAATAAATAGTAACTGAAAAAGAACATATTGGTAAACCGTGTCGTGGTATAACCACTGTCTTAGAAACGAATTCGCTCCGATGTGTGTAATTGCTGTAGTGGACCGTCCCTGAAGTTAACACGGTTGTTCCGAATTTCGTACACCTGAAATTGGAGTGGACTGCTGATGTTATTGCACTTCTGATCGGAAGCACACAGAGAGAACTTTAGAAAACACTTGGAGAATGAATTCTGAAATGTTGAGAGTGAGTTGAGAAGCTGAATATAACTATCTATTTATAGGCTAGAAATAGAGTTAAAATCGTTCATAAAATTTCAGGATTAAATCTCTTCTTTGTAACAGCTGAAACGTCTAGATTAACCTGATCCAGAAATAGTCCAGGTTCATTGCATCATTATTCAGCTGTTATAACTCCCGAAATTATATCATGTAACCTCTGGAATTAAATCAAATAACTCATGTAACTCTTGATATTAACAGTTTGTCCCCTTTGTACAAAGCTGGAAATCAGTCCATATACATCTTAACGTTTTTGATATAATTTAGGGAAAGCTGTTTAATTTCTAATAACTCTCATAAACCAGCTGTTATCATTTAAATTTAAACAGTCATCAGCAACCTATAAATATCAGTTGAAATCTTTCACATTTTTCCATTTGTTTCTTTCAAAGAGAAATTCCTCAAGAATTTTCTCTAAAAAGATAGTATCCGCGCGGACGTATCGAAGACACGTATTACCATTACCATTACCACGACCACGACCACGAGCCGAGCCGGACGACGACGGTGACGGTGCACGAGAGTCTCCCTTGTTCTCTTTCACTCAACAAGGAAGTGGGAAATCCAAACCATAAATACCCATTCCCAATAGTATTTCCAATACTATGTGGGATTGAGCATTACTAACATGAGGTCAGTGGTGGGTGGTGTTGATAATGAGGTGAAAAGGGACCGTGGGCGGCCGTCTAAGGCCTTGAAAACCAGTTACCTCAACAGGGTGTTATGTCGGTGTTGCTCCTGCAACTACCACTGTTGATGCTCCTAGTTTACCAAGGCCCAGAGGGAGGCCCAAGGGCACAACTCGAGCTACTTCCGTCACTGCGGTCCTGGGTAAGCGGAGAGGTCGACCACCTAGAGTTGGCGGGAACACTGAGCCGCAGCCGCCCAAGAAAACCACCGGAATGCCGGTAAGCTGCCCCAATAAGGTAAAACCACTTTGATTCTTCAAAAATATGATTGACTGAGTTGATGTTGTACAAAGTAGAAATAGTAGACCACAAAATGTAATGGGATTTTTGTTTTCTTATTTGATGATAACAAGATAACCTATGGAGATGAACCAAAGGCAGCGGCACATACATATGCAGGCCTTAAGAGAAAACTTGAATTCTTGATTTATTTCAAATATATGAACAAATAAAACCTCTATCTTGGGATAACATAAGCTGTTGAACGATGTTTTGATTGCAGCAATCAAAAGAGAAGCAAGCAGTTGAAGCACTCAGCATTGTAATGGGCGCAGTTCAAGATTTAGAAGGACTTGCAGCAATACACCATTTTGAAATGCTCCTCCGGTAATACACAAGGAACCTTTGTACCTGAGTTCTGTAGAAAATGTTGCGACTTAGAACACGCAACAATCATATGTTGCGGCTCTAATTTTTTGGTTTTGCCGAGGAATACTCCACTTTTAAATTTATTTCTGTCTGTAGAATGCTGAATCCAGATGTTCAATTTTCAGTAAACTTTCTAATTACCTCAACCTGCCTAGGATTATTCGTAGTTGTCTGTTTATTTACTGCAGGTTATGATTTAGAAGCATTTTCCTGCTCAGTTATTCTCCATGTATGAAATATCGGAATATTCCATTTTAAAAAAAAATAGAGAATATTCCATGAATTTGATATTAAAATGAAAAATAAAGAAAATAAATTTCACAAAGATTTAAAATAAAATTATTTTGATATCAATTTAATATTTTCAAAACAATATTATTTTGATATTATTTGTGATGTTAGAACACTATTAATCATTTAACGATGAAGTGATCAAAATAAAGATAATCTAAATTTTTTATTTGTTTGAAGAAATTACAATGTAATATACATCATACAAACACTACGATTCGATCTTGAAATCTTTGAAGAGAATAATATATTTTTTACCAGCATTTTAATAGTTTAAGAGAAACTACTGGCAGGTTTCTCTTATAGTTGCTCCCAATTTATATCCGACACATGAACATGTAGATATGACCTCGACAATCCTTTATATTTAATCATTTTAACCATTTTCCTCTATTTATGAAAATGTTTAGGGACCTTTTGGAATGACACACCAGCAAGCTCTAGCACAGGTCACTGCCCAGGCTGCACAAGCTCATTCACTTCTGCAAATCCATGCTGAATCTTCATCAACACCTCCATCATCTTTGGCAAAAGTTTCTTCTTTTACTGCCACTACGGATCAGGAGGTGCCGACCTTATTGCAAGACTTCAGTGTTACGAGTAAGCAACCATCAGGCGTGTATCGGTATGATCAAAGATCCCAACCTGCTTCGTTTATTGTTGATAAACCTGCCAGTGCCGGTGATGGCTACAACTGGCGAAAATATGGGCAGAAACAGGTAAAAAGCTGTGAGTTTCCTAGAAGTTATTATAAGTGCACGCATCCTGGTTGTCCTGTCAAGAGGAAGATTGAGAGATCACTTGAAGGCCAAGTCTCTGAAATCATCTACAAAGGGCAGCACAACCATCAGCCTCCTCAGTCGAATAAGCGTGCAAAAGGTAGTGGAAGCTTAAGTGGAACTTCGAATAATCAGGGAAATTCTGAATCAACTTCCCAACTTCAGAGTGGCAACTTAAGCATAATCAACGAAGGGACATCTAGTTATTCAATGTCCAAGGAACCGTAGTCTAGCCTAGCTATAGCTGAACGTATTTCCGGGACGAGTGATAGTGATGAAGCAAGGAATAATGAAATCGATGAGGATGAAAAAAATGAAGATGAACCTGACATCGAAAGACAGTATGCACAGATTTCTATATTCATTTTATATGCTCCATTGAATCAGTTATGAATTCCCTATCCGAGAAAACTTGTTTCTATATATGCAGAAATACTGAAACTAGAGTTTCAGAGCCATCTTCACATAGAACTGTTACAGAACCTAGAATTATTGTGCAAACAAGAAGCGAAGTTAATCTATTGGATGATGGCTATAGGGGGCGTAAGTACGGACAGAAAGTTGTCAAAGGCAATCCTTACCCAAGGTAATCGTTTATCCATAACCCCGGGGTTAGCACTTGGATCAAACCTTACCTTTTTGTTTGAATCATAGTGAAGAAAGACACTTGAATGTTGCATTTTCTGTTGTATTCTGCTCTTTTATTGTGTTTGATTATTTGGAACATTCCCTAATGCATCTTTATGGTTCCACAGAAGCTACTATAAATGTACAACACTGGGATGCAATGTCCGCAAGCACGTCGAGAGGGCTTCAAACGATCCCAAGTCTGTTATAACGACATACGAGGGAAAACATAATCACAATGTACCAGCAGCCAAGACTAGCAGCCACAACATGGCCAACACTACTAACGTATCACAAGGAAGAACACAGAATATAGAAATCCACAACCATGGTGTACACATCAGTGCTGATTTTACGAACAATAGGCAACAACCAGTAGCACGTTTACGGCTAAAAGAAGAGCATGTAACATAATTTCTCTCAACTGCAGCTAAGGTAAATTCACTGATGCCGGTGTCTTTAATTAAGGTAATTATCAAACCAAGTCCAACTGATATGTGATGTTCAAAAGAACAGATGAAAACATAAGAAAGAAAGGTCGGTTGTAGATTGAATTAGGTTACAACGTTGTACGTAAACTATTTTAGTGGGCATGCATATAGGGTTAGGATGCACAGTTTCACTGTTATAAGATAATTGGATGAATTTAAAATTCACTTTAGATTGAATTAGGTAATAACGTTGTATGTAAACTAGTTTAGTGGGTAAAATATATTCGTACAAGGTCAGAATCCATTTACATAGTGTAAAACTCGTTTTACACTGATTTTAAAACATTTGATGAATGTAAATCAATGGTTAATATTAGAACTTTGTGCATTTGCACTAGTCACTTCTAATATCATACATTAATTTATATTCATCCAATTATCTAAATTCACTAAAGTTCGTACTTGGATCTTATGTCATAATTTATGTGTATATATATGTGTATTTATATATTGTAATTTCAATTCTTGTATCCCATGCATTCTTGTTGTACATGGAGTCGTGGACTATATGATGTTTCATGTGATTGTTGGGCATTGATATGTTTGAATCTCATGAGTTTCCCAGATGATATCTCCTCTGCCAAAAACGAGTGACTTTGAATTGTCAAAGTTGTTTATAAATTGTGTAACAGTTAATTTGTGCAAACTAGCACAACTTAAGTAAGGAATCGTTGATATTCATTGAATCATTGTGGATCCGAGTTCGAGCATCATAAATGTTAGGAGTGTAAGTGATCAATATCAAAGGATTGAGAATTATCTTTAAGCAGATACTGCCTTCGAGCATCATAAATGCTAGGAGTGAGCGTTCAATGTCAAAAAGTTAAGAGTTTTCTTTAAACATCTATTGCCTTATACTTACCTTAGATTAAAATAAAAAGATATTCATCTAAAATTGATTATGAAAGACAGACACCCTCTCCTTGCTATTACAAATATTAGACCACATTTTGTTTAATTCATATGGGTTGCTTTTTGGATGTTCGACATTAATATTGTGTTTTCTTTTTCAAACTTGGTTTTTTATGAAGGGTTTAAGACACTATACGGTTAACTTGGAATAATGGATTGCAACATTGAATTACAATTTAGCCCAAAAATTGCATCTCAAAGGATAAGCCCACCATGGGCTTGCCATCAATTCAAGTATAGTAGGTTGCTTAGAAATCAAAAGTCTATATACATACATACATACATACATTATTATGTTACAGCATGGGAATAGGGATGGACCGAGTGGTAGTTGTCCCCTTTAAAAATTTTAAATTATCATATATTTTATTTTATTTTTTATTTTTTTATTAAAAATATATTTTTATCCCCTAAAATTTTAGTTTATCGCCTCTTAACATATAATCTTACATCCATCCATACATGTAAATATCTATTTGACATCCAAGTAATTGGAAAAAAGACGATAGTGATTGGTGGGGTGACACAAAAAGAAAAGCAAGTGATAAATGAAATATTAATAAAATTTATTGTTGTCTTTGCCCACAAATGAAGCAAACCACATATTTGATTGTTCATAATCATTTTGACCCTAATCGCTTTAATTCCCCTATTTTGGATTTGGGTCCACTCCCATCACATCTTCAACCATATATGCAAATGTATAAAACAATTTAATATAATTATTTTTTTAAAATAATATGATGTAAGTACAAGGTAGTATTTATTTAAAGATAACTCTCAATCTTTTAATATTGAACTTTTACACCCTTGATATCTGTGATGCTCGAACCCGAGTAATCAGAAATAACAACAATTCATTTATCACATAATTCACTTGCTTCATGCTTAATATAATTATCTTTGTTTTATAATAAAAAAGGTTGTTTGTACAATGAAAATTTATCATGTAAAATATAGAAGTATTTATTATAAACTCCATTGATAATTTTATATATGGATTGAATAATTGTTTTGGATATTATACAGTTATGGAAAACAACAGAGGAGGCGGTTTTGGTCATTGGTCCCTCGCAGGTACTATTAAATATCAATCACTTGTCTTTCAAACACGCCATTCTCACTCACGGGTCCCCCACCCCCTCTTTCAATAACATAAATTCATTTTCACTTAATTAACTCCCATTTAAAATTAGTTAATTTTTAGGGTAAATTACAAATTCGATAGTTGAATTTTATTCTCTTTCATATTTCACTCACTGTACTTAACTTTTTCAATTTTCTCACTAAATTTAATATATTAGATTTTTTGTCACTCGGCCGTTAAATAGTTAACAACGTTAAAGTGTACAGTTATATAGATACAAAACGATATCGTTTTAGTGAAAATTTTATTTTTTAAACATTATCGTTTTTAGTGTCATTAACTATTTAACGATGAAGTGACTAAAATAGGAGATAGAGTACAATTCAGTGACAAAAAACTCAAAGTATTAGGTTTAATGAGAAAAGTGAAAATTTTTAAAGTTCAACGAGTAAAATAGGGAAGAAAATAAAGTTTAGTTGTGAAATTTGTGATTTACCCTTTATTATCCATCTAAGATGAATATGTTAGTATTCGTACAAATTATTTGATAACGAACACTTATACATATTTGCATATGTGGTGCTCGAACCCAAAACATCAAAGGGTTCGTGCTAATTAATTAAAATTTAACTATTTTTGGAACATTGATTGTATGCATGGTTTATACCAATAAATTTGATCATAATGTGTGAATTAAAACATAGATAATGTTATATTTGTAGAAGTGTTAAAAATATATAGAAAAAAGAGTGTCAACTTCCCTTTTTAAGTGGTA